GGAGCACTATGATACCCTAGTAGCCATGGAGTTCTCCCGTGGGGCAGCGGCAGAAGCCTTGAAGCAGGCAGACAACAACTTTGATGCTGCTTTAGAGGTATGGACACCTCTTGCGTGTATGGATATTATGTGTGTGTTGTTGTTTCTGTTTATGTATAAAGATGAATAAATGTGGGTCTTTGGCAGGTGCTCTGGTTCCTATCAAACATCTGTAATCATTATCTCTCCTTCTTTTTTGTGTTTGTTAACTCTCTCATAATACCTCTAATCCTCGGCACTTATATGACCTAATTGTGTTGCAAGTGCCGTAAAATGTTAACTAAAATAAATAGAGATGAATGTGTTTTGGCTGAGTGGTGGCTAAGGGGCTCTCTCTCATTCTACATGGCTTGAGTTTATATTGGTGACACTGCATTTAGATGGGTGTTCATTAAGATGTGCTCTTGAGAAAGACATGGTGACTCTTAGCTATAGAAAAACAGGGAGCTGCACAGTGGCAATTAGCTATGGCATGTCGATTTTAAATCTGTGTTGTTGTAGTATTGTGTATCATGTAATATTGATACGAGGTTGTGTTGTGTAATTGGGAAAGGCACTTTTGACGGACTTCCCTCTTGGCTCGGTCCTATCGGAGACGGACGTTATACAGTGCTTCCACTCTTCCGTATTTTTACGGAAATCCGTACTTTCTGCCAGTTCCGTACTTGTCCCTCCATCATTATCTACTCCCTCCGTAAAAAAACTGCGACAGTGCAGGACTGCCGAAATTCCGTACTCGCCTTCGTATCGTCTTGTATAAGGTACGGATATTTACGGTAATTCTCTTGGCAACAATCTAACATTATAGAAACCTGCCAAATTGCGCATTTCCTGCAATCGGACATTATACCGCTATGCCCCAGTCCCATGCATTCATTGCGTGTTGGTCGGCAGTACATTTTTTACCTGCAGATGGATCAAAATCTGGCGAACCTTTTGTGCCAACTTCCTCCTTTCTGTCATTCACTCATTCCTTCTGTCTATCTTCGGATTGTTGCCGCAGCTGGAAAATCTGCGCGTTCATCAAGACTGATTTTGATCTTAGACAGAAAATTACTGTC